CATCAGATTAGATTTGTAATTTTTCTTCCTTTTTCTGCCATGTTTCTCGAAGCTGCCTCCTTCATTTTACATTCCTTTGTTCTCTTTGCGTTATACAAAACCAACTCTGTTGCCATTTTCTCCCGATACATGCACATGTCCATCGAGCTTACCTCCTTTATGTCCATGCCCATCATAAGAAACTCAGCGAACTTCAAAACGTACATGCCACAGTTCCCCCTGTGATGATGGCACACCGTTAAAAAAACCAGAAATAAGTTTTGAATGAAATATTATAAATTATGATATACTCCAGCTCTAAAACTCATATTTTACCCGTCATCTTGTTGTGGGCAGTCCTCCACAGTTTGCAACTCAATCTTTTTGTCATTCATTGGTTCCGGCCCAATTTCTTCATACACTCCATGGATGTCCATTATTTTTGGAAGAAAGCACTCAATGCTCGGCACATAAGGTCTGATTTCTCTTAAGGAATCTGCCCTTCTGCTGTTGGAGTTGTAAATCCTTATTTTTCTTTCTTTTACTTCCAGAACTAGCAGTATCCAGTGGTTTCCGGTATTCAGAGGTATGTACACGAAATCTAACTGTGCCCAACTTCGGTCAAAAGGATATGCAATCCCTAATATATCGTCTGCAATTACCGGATTGTCTGCTGCACTTTGGATTGAAGACTCACTCTTCTTAATTTCTTCATTTTCACGCCTCAGCACTTGCATAAAAAATGGGCCACATGTGGTGTATTTGGGGCCCTTGATGTTGTAGTGCACTTGTTTCATATTCAAGTAAAACATTGCCACATCAATATGCTGCAAACAAATTTAAAACCAAAATCAAATGTTATAAATCTAATACAATACATATTTTAACGCTATATTTTACATTGAGATCTACAACATACTGTTTTAGTAGTAAAAGTAAATCATTACCGTATCATCTAGCCATTCTGGATTCACAAACAACTTATACAATCATGTTTTGGACTCTATTTTGTGCATATCCAGAAGAAACGGGACATTGTGCATGTTTTCCTCTTCAATCCTGTACTTTCTATCACATCCCTTTTTCTTCAATTTCTTCAAGAGACCAACTTTTAGATATTCTTCCACCTTTTTTATTTCTTCTTCTGGTGGTCTCTCAGTCGGGTCTTCCGCAAAAGGTCCATACTCTCTTGGAGGAAAATAACTTCCCTCTACATCTCTCTTAGCTATTTGCTTCCTTCTTCTCTTAGCCTGAACTTTAGTTTCTCCAGGTGTATATCGGTCTGGGGTCCTTACATTGCGCTTTTTTCTTTGCATTTGTGCGCATATGGTCTTCACCTGTAATTTAGTAATATGTTATAGTTTACTTTTTCCAAATATTTGGAATTTTGTTTCAAATATTTGGAACTTTTTCCAAAATATACTTACATCCTTTTCCACTTCTTTATGCTTTGTTCTGCTTTCCCTCATCTCACTCTCTTCAACTCCTTTTTCCATATGCTGCTAGTAAAACCAACACAAGAAAAAAATAAAAAATAAACATAACTACTCATATAACATAAAGTTCTTCATTTATTTAATTTTCTTTTTGTTTAAGGTTTGTAAAACAAAAATCTTACCGCTTTCGCATTGATGTCAGCAGTTGTGCTCGCTTTAGCTAGCATTTGTTTTTCTATTTCATCCACACTTGTGATCATTTCATTCACAAATTGGGTGTTCACATCTCCCCAAGCATCATTATCAGTCTTCTCATTATTTTTGCCTTTCCGACTTGCTTCTTCTACTCTTGCACCCTCACCTTCTTCATCCACTCTTCCATCGTCGTCTACTGCATCTTTAACATTCTTGTCATGACTTCTTCCTTTCTCACTTACATCTTCTTCTTCCATTGTTCCACCGTCATCTGCTTCCTTAAATTTTTCCTGTGTTTCTGGCCCAAAAATATTAAAGTTTGGCAAACTGCAACCCACCTGATCATTATCTTCTGGAGCTCCACCAGTATCTTTAGCATTATCTTCAACATTTTCTTCTGGAGCTGCAACAACATCTTTATGATTATCTTCTGGAGCTGTACCATCATCTTCAGCATTATCTTCTTCAAATGTAGCATCATCTTTGGTATTATCTTCTGTAGTTGCACCATTGTCTTCAATATTATGTTTTGTCTCATCTCCACTCTCTGATTTTTCATTTGCACCATCGCTGCTTTCATCTACACTCTCCTCACTTACTGTCTCCTTCGCCTTCTCTTGGTTGTCTAACTTGTCCAATATTTGCTTAAGAAATCTCTCATTCCTCTTCTGTGCTTTCTTTATTAGTTTCATTTCTGCCATTAACTTGGCATTTTCTTTGCTTAGCTTCCTGACTTGTCTCAAAACAACAGTCACTTTCCTCTCATATTCAAAACCCACTACCCCTTCATCATCATCCTCTACCTCAACATCATCTGCATTTTTTCCTTTTTTCCCAGTTCTCTTTGAAATCCTTGCTTTCTGATCCTTCCCTTTCTTCTTCTTTTTTTGAAATACCTCCACACCTTCAATTCTTTTTCCAACTATAAGACCACTATTGGCCCTTAAATTTGGAATTTTTTTAATTTCCAATCTTGTAGCCTGCATCCTTTCCCATTCAAACTGCATGTAAAAGATCCAAATATACAGTTTAAATGTATTAATTGTCACTTCACATGTTATTTAAATAATAAGTAACGAAGCGAATTTACCTGTTTGTTCTTGAAGATTATCTTGCAGAAAACTTCCATATGAGGCTTTTTTTTGAACTCCCACTTCACTGCTCTTGGAATTCCTGTTTCTCTTCCTTCAATGACCTTGCATATATTTGCCTTTGTCAACCCTGTAAACGTTTCAAAAGCCCATACTTGTAATGCTATTAGACAACCTGGTAGAGTCACACGTTCCCCCTTGCACTTCTTAAGGCTCTTGCAATTTGTTCTCATGTTGGTCACCAAATCTGCCCAGACATCATCAGCCCATGGATATGTGTTGAATGCCTCTAAATCTTCGACCAGATTCACATAACAGTTTGGTAAATCCCTAGCCACTTGGTTTCCAAATAATCCATGTGATAGCACATGGAGTAGAGCAAGCTTCACACCATCATTTTCTTCACTTCCTTCATCTTCACTATTATATTTCATCAATGCATTTTGTACCTCACTTCTTTTCACACCTGTTTTTCCAAAATATTTTCTCCAAAAAGGTCCTTTCATCTCCTCTTCTAAAGTTGGTTTCACACCTGCCATTTTCAATCCCAATGCAATGCATAAATCTATTTTTGTAAAACTAATTAGACTGTTTTGGATGTGGAAGCGAATGACTTCTGTCTCTTTTATGTGGTTAACCTTTTTGACATAGTTGCATAGAAAACCAAGCTGAAGTTGACCACTGACAGTTCGTATTTCTTCCACATCCAACACCCATTCGAACACTATCTTTCTGAACTCCTCTATCTCATTTGGTTTCAGTTGCTTCAATATTCTCTTCACGACTTCACTCAGACTACAGTAACAGTTAATTCGCATGCTCTCAACATTGTCCAATTCATTTTCGTTGAAAGATCTCTGAATCACCTATTTTAGCAAAAAAAAAAACAATTCAAATAAAGTGTCAACTGCTATGAAACACACAATCTGGATAAACATGACATCATTATTCCATAACACCAAGAAATCAAATAAAATGTCATCATATTCACAATAGAGGATATTTTTTCCAAAACTATGACTATTCTATTTGTGATTTACATAACTTATGCTTCACATTATTAGGATTTCGTCCAACATTTTGTCATTATGTATTCTTTAAATGCATCTATCTCCAACTATTCAACAAACAATATGGAAAAACATGACATCTTTATGGCATAATATCAACAATTCAAATAAAGTGTCATTACATTCACAATACATTCACACTCCATGGCAATAAGCACATATACATTCACACTCCATGGCAATAAACAAATAAAAGTTGTATTACTATTTACATCATCATAAACAATTATTATTTGTTCAAAAATGTAATACAACTTTTAGTTGTTTATGCCATAAATCAAACAACAACTTCGAATAATGCCACAAATCAAACAACAACTACATTCAAACAATAACAACTACGAATTATGCCATTGTTTTGGCATTTCCTTATTTACTTTACCCCAACATACAGAATTAAATTTAGAGTTAAATTTATTTGAAAATATAATTACACTTTCACTTGTTTATGACATAAATCACACAGAAACTGCCAACTTAACCACATTTATTTGAAACTACTTCCATACTGTTCTGATAAATAGTCACACCAGCAAATTAAATCCTCACTGTTCTACGTTTTTACCAATTCATCCACTATGTTGACATTTTCGCAATTGCTATTTATGTGATTACAAACGATTACTCTTTCTTCCAAAATGTAATACAACTTTTATTTGTTTATGCCATAAATCAAACAACAACTACGAATAATGCCACAAATCAAACAAAGACATTCGAACAACAACAACTTCGAATAATGCCATTGTTTTCTGTAAAATACTCACACTATTGATTTTACTTCCATTTTGATTTTCGATTACATTCAGTAACATGCATGTCCAAAAAAACTTACCATGTTTCGATTCAGCCGATTGCTTGATCTTCTCGTGCTCTGTTTTTGAAAATCATCTTCTTCCATCTTTACTCCACTTCTCCTTCGTTCTTCGTCGTTTTTGCGCCAGAAAAATGGAAAGTAGAAACACTTCCAATACGGCGAGACGGGAGTAGTTTAGGAAGATATGCGCCGGAAAATAAGATTGTATAATAAATGTCGTAACCGCTATATTTTCGTCTCTCAACTCCCTTTTCTTTAATTGGCGCTTCAAATAAATCAAGCGTGCGGAAGTTTTAATTTGGAGGTTAAAATTGGAAACTTACCTTCTTTTGAGTCCCACGGATGCCAATTTCGTTTTTAGGTCCTATTTTTGCAAATGGCAAGACTTTTAGTCCTATATTATAAATTAACTCTTTCTTAAAAAAAAAGTAAAACACAAATTTATCTGCATTCATATAAACGGGTGAGAGGAGTCCACTTTAACTCCATTCTGTCTGAACCGCCACTAGCTTTCTGCCCCTTTTGTGTGTTAGCCTAATCTTTCTGCTCTAGAATTTGGAGAACGAACCAGAACACACTGTAATCATGTCTTCACCAAGCAAGCGGAGGGAGATGGACTTGATGAAACTGTAATTTAACCCAAATTTACAACTCGAATCTTCTTTTTAATTTTTATGTATAGGTTTTTTTCTGTTATTTTATAAATAAAATACATAAACAAAAACTAACTGGATTTACTCTGCGGATTTTAATTCTGGCAACTTTAGGATGATGAGCGACTACAAGGTCGAGATGATCAATGATGGAATGCAGGAGTTCTATGTAGAATTTCACGGACCCAAAGAGAGTAAAGTTCTCGAACCCCCACCCCCACCCCTCTGTGTCTCGAGTATGCATTTGAGCTAGGTTAGATTATTGTTAATGAGAATATGTGTTTTGCTTTTCCTAGTCAGTTGTGTCGATTTGTAACTCCCCCAGGTGCAAAGGCAGTAGCTTTTACGCTTTATACTGATGAACTGAACTTAAATCTGGGTGGTATGAGTTTTTACTGGTCGAATTACCGTACCTTTAAGTGAAATACGTAGTATATGATATTGTGGTATATAAGTTGGGGTTTGTTGAAGTTAAGTTGCTTCCATTTCTTGAGTGTGTGATTTACTCTTATCATAATGAGTGTGCATTTCATCTGTTCACTGATTTATCCCTGTGAAGGTCTCTTTTTATTCAGATGATTTCATGAAATCATATGGGGTAAATTTTAAAAGAAAGCTCATCTTGTCTTCATTCACAGTTTGATTTGCAATATCTTGTGCTCTGACAGGTCCATATCAAAGTGGTGTGTGGAAAGTGAGGGTAGAATTGCCAGATGCCTATCCTTATAAGTCTCCTTCTATTGGTTTTGTCAATAAGATTTATCATCCAAATGTTGATGAAATGTGAGCTGGTGTATATACTGTTCTTCCTTAGTTTCTCTTCTTGACATAACTCATTGCATGATTTGGATATAAGATGGCCTGAACAATCTACACTTCCATGCCTTTGAGTTTGCAGGTCAGGCTCGGTTTGCTTAGATGTTATAAATCAGACATGGAGCCCTATGTTTGGTAATTAATGATTTTACTGTTTTTCCTTTCATATTAATACTTCAATACTTTAATGACATCCCCATTCCTTGCAGATCTGGTAAATGTGTTTGAAGTGTTTCTTCCTCAACTGCTATTGTATCCTAACCCATCAGACCCACTGAATGGAGAGGCTGCAGCTCTAATGATGCGTGATCGGCCCTCTTATGATCAAAGAGTGAAAGGTAAAAAGTTCATGTGGTCTAATTTTTGCCTTGCACTTACACGGAAACTCTGTCTGCTTTTTTGGTTAAGAACATAGATAATGGATGGAATGATTCATTAGCACATTAATGTGTTTCTTTCTATAAGATTTCATTATTTGCTTCCACAATGGATTGCTATTAAGTGATGTGCGTGTCGGACACTGAATGTAGCACCTTCATTCCAATCAATTTTGAGCTTTCAAGGGATATTCGCTGAGTAAAAAATATATTTTTTACTCATGCAGTAGTGGCAATAAAGTTTTTGCAGATTTGATAGAAACAGGACTGCTGATTGTTAATCAGGCAACCAATGATGTGTATTTGCATGCAATTATATAATTACAAACAGCCCTATGGCTAATAGGATTTTAGTGTCTAAGCCGGCTAATACAATATTTCAAGAGTCCCAACCGGGTCACATTTTGTCTTTCACGCTCTGATATAAATAGTAAGTAAAAGGGTATTTCCAAAATAAAAGCAAAACCCACTGATAACAGGCTCTCAAAAATTCTAGATCTCGTGTGTTGTTAACCGTTTTGATTAATTCTTCTTTGCATGTTAGGAAAAGAGCATTCTTTCTTTTCTTTATGTGAATCTGCTCGATGAGATGCTCTTTATGCCGATTCATATGTTCAGGAATGATCAATTGACCATCATCCCATTGAATAGTGCAATCTTTAATTGATACTCCCTCCGTCCCACTAAGAATGGGACAATTCAGTTTACGATGCTTGACCGATGATAAAGTAAACAGATCCCTGTCCGCATTCAAATTATTTTTAGAAAAAACAAATTACATATTCAGAAACTAAGGCTTGAATTTGTTGTTATTCAGAAACTACATTAAAAGCTTTACAAAGTCGCAAAAACCAGAATCAAATTTGATAAAAATTTGATACATAAAGTAAGAGATTAAGAGGGATTTGTGTTGATCAAGTGAATAGGAATTGGGACAATCTTAGCGGGGCGGAGGTAGTATAAAACTCACAACTTCCTAATTTCTAATGGTAACACACAATTTCTCTAGAAAAAGAATGATGCTAAACTTACTGATCTCAACCCTAAGGTTTCTATTTACCGTTCTTTAACAGTAAACACTCACCCCACTTCAGGCTGAAGCACGTCAGCTCCAAGCTTGTTACAAAACTTGAATTTTGACCAGAAAACTGGAAAGTGGAAACATGAACTTTACTCTTGGTGCCTACATGAGCATCATCAAATTTAACTTGTCTTTACTTAGCTTTGCTTCATTTCACTTGAAAGCATGAAACATAAAACTTGAATCTTTTCCAAACAAAATATCCCTCCCCCCTTCTCTTTTCTCCCCTTCTTTTCTGCTTCCTGGGAAGTTGCTGACACATGACGTTGGCTGATGACAAGCAAACATTCCAGGTGAGATCACAAAAGGAAGAGGAATCGACGGGCCCTTTAAAGTTAAAACATATCATTGCTGAGAAAGGAGATCAAAGACAAAACGGTGATTAAGACTCGCGGTGATGGTGGCGTGCATGAATTGGTCTCCAACGAAAAGAGTGATCAAGTATTAGTTGTAGTTATGCATTTATACACTTCCAATACTTGAGCTTGCATTCACGCTTAAGTTTGATGTTGTGGTAGTTGTTGTAACTTGTGTGCGTAATGGTTCAACATGCAGATTAAACACACAAAAGTAAATGACACGTAATCAACATGGTTTATATGCCAACCCTCTTCATACACCCATGGATTAAATATATACAAGCATAAAACTTAGGCAACCTAGATAATTCCAACCTACCATTGAATCTCCAAGTGTTTAGCTTCCATTATCGGCGTCTGCTATGCAGATGGAAAGGAGTAAATTGTTGTAGAAGAAGTCTTTCTATTATTGTGATATTATTAGTATCCTTTTATTAATAATATTACAGAGCATTTTCGTGCTCCCTTCATGATAATGATACGGTAATCTGCAGTCCTACGACAGCATGGATGGAAAGGAGTGAAGTGTTTTAGAAGAAGTATTTCTATTATTTTGATATTATTATTAGTATCCTTTTATTAATATTATTATTAGTTTTAGTGTCCTATTCATATTGCTATTGTTATTCCCTGTTCAATTTGGTCAGCTTCTTACTAGCCTTTATCTTGATGTTTCCTATCATGATTATGGGATCTTGTTATAGCTACAGTACGGCCTTGGTATCAATTAACGGATTACCTTCAGAAAATTAATTCTTGTGTCTTGACTATGTTAGGTACGAACTAATTCTTCTTTAGGACTTATTTGGTTCTTTCTCGCTAGCGCTAGTAAATGATAGATCCAAAATTTCGTATTGGTTCTTCCTTTTTCATGGCAAACATAGACAGGAAACCACACATAATCAGATTCCTTTGCATGTAGACTTCAAAATCTTGTAAGACTCCTCTATCAGTCTATCCCAATCAATTCTTTCTTGCCAACATTTCAAGTTCCTAATAAGATGCACACATTTCTTCTGAACCAATGAAGTGCATATTCCATGTTTTCAAAGATATTCACGAGTGTTAGTTTTAGAGTACGGTCTATGCTTCTCATTCTTTGGATCATCTTTCTTGCAATTCCTGTAGTGCCCTAAAGCACTCCCAGTAATGAGCACATTGGAAGTGCATATTTAGTTTATATGATGGCAACATACTTCCTCCATTCTTAAATAAATGCAACACTTTCCTTTTTCGGAAATTTCAAAATAATAAATGCAACATTTCCTTTTAGGTTAAAATGTTAGCCACTAAAGGCTATAGTACCCTTTGCACCCATGTGATGTATTCTTACCCCAAATTAAATATCCCACATCGTGCCAGCCCTTCATCTTTCTCATCTACTTCTTCTCTTTCTTAAATTAGTTGTCCCCTCTGTCACCCAGTCTCCTCTTCCATGGTCATCCATTTTTTTTTCATTCCTTTCCTTCTCCGTTCCATATTCTTTAATCTTATTTCCACTTTTTGTTTCAGCTTACGTTTTTAGTCATTCTTGTTCTTTCATTTCTTTCTTTCTAACATTTCTTTCCCAACTATTTTTTGTTCTTACAGCCGTAGAAAATCCAAGAGCCAAATCTGTTGACTCTGTCTGCGGTTCTCATGATCCCCCCAGCTGATATGCTAAAAAGGTTGGAATTTCGGAGAGACCAACCTCAAATGAACTCGATTGTGGATAAAATTGATGAATTAGAATTAACAATAACGAAGTATCAGAATGAAGAATCAAAAGGGTCTTAGGAGACTGTGAAAGTCTAGAATGGAAATGGAGTAAAACTAGAATCACAAAAGCAGCAATTACCGTAATATTTGGTCTAAAGATTAAGAGGTGTCATAATATTTTTTCTTTAGATCCAGAGGTGTTGTAGAGAGTAAAAAGAACATGGGTAAAAGAAAAAGAATTTGTAGTCATAAGTTTGTTTGCAAAGGGTAGAACCGCAAAAGATATACTTTATCTGTATTCCTTGTTTCTCGTGCCCAATGTGATGTTGCATTTATATCCGAACGGAGGAAGTATTAATTAAGTTCGTGACAATCCATCATATCTATGGCGCATGCTATAAGCGATTTGAATAGTTATCCCCACAGAAGTGCTTCAAGGCAAGTATTGTATATGCCCCCCCCCCCCCCCCCCCAATATGTACATCATCGCCATGCCATATGAACCATATTTTGAGCAGATTTTAACATGTTCATTTAGTTATTGTTGGGCTTTCCCTGATTATTACTTAACTAGTCAGCCCGCCCACAAAATAAATACAACAACAATACCCTAGTGCCGCAAAGCCTCCCACCTATGGTGGGGTAAGGGGGAGTCGGAAATACGCAGCTTTACCCATGTACTAAAGCACAGAGAGACTGTTTATCGATTGACTACTGCTTCATAGCAAAGAAGCGCAGACAGTTCAGGAAGCGCGGACAATTTATTCTGTCATATTCCCAAGCCAAAAAAATAGCGAGTCTTTGGCTTCAATGCTCCATTGGAAATGACGGAAACCGTCCATAATGTAAATAAAAATCTTAATCATTATCATTACCTCAGTGCCACAAAGGCTCCCACCTACGGTGGGATAGGGGGGTCGGATGTACACAATCTTACCTTTGTACTAAAGCACAGACTCATAGAGAGACTGTTTCCGGATGACCCAACTAACATAGGAGGCCAGTTAACATAGAATTGAAGCCAGAGAAAGCTGCGTGTGACTAAAGCGGAGCAACAGAGGGAACTGCACTTTCACTAAAGGAGTGATAATTGATGATGATTAGATCATAATTACCGAATACGGGTAGCAAGTCGACATATTTTGGATATTGAGTTATTTTTTAAACTACTTTAAACTATTTTAACTTGACATATTTTGGTTCGAATGGTTATTCAACTCTTTACTCACCTTTTGGTGGTTGAATTATGGATTTATTCATTTATAATTTATAATGTTTGTAGTTTATATTTGTAGTTGACTTTTTGTGTGATGCCATAAATACGCCATGACAACTATGATTTATCTCAAAGTTTGGTACTTGTGCTGAGCATTTTGTACCATACGAGTATTTTTATGTACTGTGTAACTTTATTCTTTTTTATGTACTTTGGTTATCATTCAATGTACAGGTTCATAGGTCACTAGTAAAAAAATCGGAATTGATGTGGTTCATATAATCTTTTCTATGAAGTGACATTGGAATGGATTACGGCACTGTATTGCATGGGCAGTTTTTGTTAGTTGGCTTTATTATGATTAAGAATCTGATGTTTGATTTGGTGGAATATTATAGCAGATTAGCTGTGTAGTAAAATTGTATATCATGGTTAGAGCGATTTGTTCTAAATTTCAAGAATGCTGGTAATGTATGAACATACTTGAATTTGAAGATAGAATCACTCATATCATCTACTTTCAGAGTTCTGTGAAAAATATGCGAAGGCTTCAGATGCTGGGGTGGTGCCGGAAGAGAAGTCTAGCGATGAGGAGTTGAGCGAAGACGAATATGCTTGTAGTGAAGAAGAGGAAGAAATTGCAGGAAAAACGGATCTCTAAGAGATAGAACAATGTGCTCTTTCACTAAATGCCTCTATTTGTACATGAAACCAAAGCTAGTTTATATTTAGATCAATAAATAAACTCTACATTGTGCTCAGTATTCCTTTTCCTTTAACATCTGTTGCACCTTCTGTTAACATAGTATGATGATCTCTTGGCTGATATGGTTCGTGATTGATGATGCTTGTCTATATAGAAAGTGTTCTTTCTCCTTGGGAACTTCATCAATATTTTATTTTTGTTTTTGCATTTTGATATGGGGACTTCATGTCTGGTGAAGTGATTGTGGTATATGAGGACCTATTATATGATAAGAAACAAATAGCACTTGCATAGTTGCATAGAAGGGTTTCTGAAAATCATGGTCTCTGTCTAGATTGCCCATTTCTATAGTGATTTTCAAGGATTGACCCAGTCCGGATCCTGTGGTATTTGTCCTTCAAAGTGTCTTGCTTGGCTATTACTAGTTCATTCACAATCACATTATTCACATACTGTGTTTGGCTTTGTTGCCATAGATATCATCATTCTAAATTCCCCCCTTGTTAGTTCAAAATTTGTATCTTCATTCATCAATAACATCAACCAGCCGATGCTGTCTATGAAAGTTTTATAAAAAATCTCCCCTTCATTTGGATTTTTCTTTTTTTTCTTTTTCCTCAGTTTTCATTTTTCTTTTCTATGCAGTGAAGAAATTGACACTTCACTCGAATTGGAGTAAAGTATCAATTCGGCACTTGAACTTATCTCCGTTGGAGTAAAGAGTACATGAATTTGCATCGAAGCCCATAAAGTACTTCAACAATTGTTAAGTATCAATTCGGTACTTGAACTTATATCCGCTGGAGTAAAGAGTACATGAATTTGCATCGAAGCCCATAAAGTACTTCAACTTGTTAAGTAAAGTATCACAGATTGGAACTCTCTTTTATGTGTTTTTCTTTGATTGTTTCGGGCCACATCAGCCCAAAATTAATGGGTTCGGGCTAGACCAGGCCAGACTTAATTTAGTTTAGCGAAGTATCGGAGTTAATAATTAATGAGTCGGGCTGTACTGGACTTTTGTATAAAAATGTAGTTCTAACCCGTCTATATAGTTTGGCATGAGGAGCCGGGTCGGACATGCCCACATGTCACCAATAGGGCTAAGATTAGATGGACTTACAAGAAACGTACAAAAAATTCTTTATACATTACAAAATACAAATTACAATGTAATCAACTAAATGAGTGAAATGAATTTATTACTCCAAAAAATGTAATAATTAAATGAAAGTTCTATTTATATATATCTAAGTTTTTGTGGTGCACTCTTGAAAAAGAGATATACAAATATTGAAATATCATATTTGTTCCTCTGTATCTAAATTCTCAAGTTCTGTCACAAGTTTTATTACCTAACAATCATTCAGAATTTCATTCTCTTCTACTATTATTATTCATTACTTTTATATGTTACTAATTATGAAATTTGTGTATAAAATTAATAGTATATAAATGGCCTCTGGGTTGGGCTCATTTGAGCTTAATAGCTCGGGCTGGACTAAGTCTTGACTCTTGACAGGTCGGGCAAATGAACTGGATCGGGTTTCAAATACTCTACCATATGTCAATCTCTTCAAATAGTGAACTGGGCCAACTCGTGATATCAAGGGGCGAAATCTATTTCCCCTCACCTTTTAATATTTTTACTCATACAATTTCACACTCTACACTATCTACTACTACTACACTTTTATCCATGACTCCTATAAGAAATGCAGTGAAGTAAGTAAAAAATAAAGATAAATTACATTTGTACACAAAATTAGTACACAGATTTTACACACGTGCCCTAGTTGATTGTGTACACAGGCAATTCGTTTCAAAAAAAGTGGAATTTTTATGTCAAAATACAAGCGTACAATTTGTGTAAAATTTTGTGCACAACAAGAATTACCCAAAAAATAAATGAACGGGAGTATATGTAAATAAATACATGCATCATCATCATCATCTTTATCGTTATCATTATCATTATTGTCATCGTCATTACTAACATCATCATCATTTCATATTAATAGTATTTCAATATTTTATATCAAACAGTCTGAAAATAGTATTACTCGTGAATACTTCAGCAACTATGAGCATGTTTGGTAGGCATAAATCTATACTTTCTAGCTTTTAAACTATTTAAAAAGCATCTAAAAGCTTCTAGTTAAATGTTTGGCACGACAATTTTTAAGAGTTTTTTGAAAATAAAAGATTTTTTTTGAGATGCTATAGTGAGTAACATCTGAGAAAAGTTTGTATCTTTTTTAGCATTAAGTCATTATCAAACATCTTTTAGTCACAACTAGTTCAATTCTAACATCTTGTATGCCAAATAGAACTAAATCATTTATCAAACAGCTACCACATTAATTTTAAGATCTTTTTAGTCACGAAAACTAACAGTTACTAAAAAGCTCAAAATATATCTTTTCAGCTAGTTGTGTCAAACATACCCTATATAGTTGGCTTGAATATGTGATTCACTTTCCCTAGTAATTGTATCAATTTCTGATTTATTGAGGGATGATTTTATTAATAATACTTAAGTATATACATTTTCTTCAATAATAATAATAAAAGGTTTATACGATTTTGTAATAAAACTAATTATTAATACTTCTGTCTCACCAACATTGTTATAAATCGGGGTGACACAGTAATTAAGAAAAGTGAATTTATGTGGTTAATGTTGAATTGATAAAGTAAAAATAAAGTAAAAATGATTTAGAATCACGCGAACCCTAGCTTTACCAAATTAGTTATGAAACAATTTTAGTGAGTTTTCCTGTAACGATAAAATGAGACAATCTTAACGGGATGAAAGGTATTATAATACGCAGTAATAGGTTTGTAAAGAATTATAGTTCCCCTAAATCATACTCCGTACAAGGCATGTAAGAAGTTCGATCTACGGTACTTAACCTCCAATTTAAAGTCAAAATTTTAAGAATATACTCCATTCATCTCATTTTATTTGTCTTACTTTTCTTTTTGGATTATTCCAAAATAAGTGTCATATTTCCCTTTTGGAAAGAATTATGTGATCTAATTATTTCACTTTATTATAATCAAATCTCAACCACGATTTTTAACTTTTCAACCACTTTATTAATAGTTGTGTCAAAGTCACATGAGACACATAAAATGGGATGAATATAATGTAGTAGTACGTATCTGTATACTGTATACTATATGTTCTTATATGTGTTTAGGAAAACAAAATTTTTGTGTTTCTAAAAATATGAACTAATACTCCCTCCGTCCCAAAAAATACTTCCTGGTTTGAATTAGCACGCTTCTTAAGAAAGTAGAATAAAGTGGAAATGTATGGTTGTAGTTGGGTAAGAAAAAGGTAAAATGAATGTGAGTCACACAAATTGTCCAAAAAGGAAAAGTGTGAAGTATTTTTTGGAACGACTCAAAAAGGAAAGTGTGAAGTATTTTTTGGGACGGAGGGAGTACTTCAAAGTAATTAAAATACACGGAGTATTTCTTAATCAAGATCGTGCAATGTTCTTAGGTGACAACTCTGATACCTTTCTAAAAAATGGGGTACCATGCATATCATTCATTTGATTGGATCACATCACTTTATCATTTTTAATTTAGATTTAAATAATTCAACTGCTACATTCTCATTGGTCCATGTAGACAAAGGTATAGTACCTTATGGGTACCATAGAATCTACCATGTTCTTATTACATAAAACATAGTTATTGTGATTAGCACAATTAAGGTATTCCTTTTGGGACAACTTTAGCCCTGAGTTTCTTGTCTACCCTCAAGAGCGGTATTGTTCAAGGAAACGTAATTTATGGAGAAAATTTACAGAAGAGTCAAAAATTGGATATATGATTGGATATGGCCGGCCTGGCCTTGCTTGAGCTAAAGCCTAAACGAAAACGTCCTAATAAACTTCATTTTTATGTACTCTGTATTTAATTAATACGGAGTATATATATGTGTGTAAAACATGCATCCCATGCCAAGGCATTTTGAAGACGTATGGGCAAATAATAACGTACAGAAGTAAACATGCATGGAGCTAGTTGGCACACTTTAATGGAAATTTGAAGTGTAAATTAAAGAGTGCCCATGACGTTAATGCATAAATTCGATGCCAATGGCCGGGTGAAGGGTATACAGTGCAGTTCATGGAACGAGACAACGAGTACGTACCTATAAGGCTATAACCCACTGCGAAAAATTAAGGGATTGGTATGAATTTGACATGGATGGATCGATGAATTCGTGTCAAATGGCTCGTGTCAAAGTTTATATGACACGGGATTGGCATATCTCTGTCAAATGACTCAAATCCTTCATGAATTTTTGCGAATTTCTGCCAAAAATTCTTGTCAATCTCGTTTTTTTTTTGTAATGCCTTGTGTCGTCTTATTTTACATGTGCATATACACCACCAAACTCAGAGTGTTAACAATATTGTCGGGGCAACGAGCCCTAAGACTTAATAAACGGGGCAGAGCCCTAAGACTTTATAAAGAATATAGTGTATGTCTTCTATAAAATTCTTCTCACTTACTTTTTTGAGATGTCCCAAAAAAATCCTCGTTTTCTTTTTCGGGAAGTTTGTGAGACTAACATTCAGTTACATTTTTCTTACTCAACCACAACCATAAATATCCAATTTATTCATACTTTCTTAAGCTTTGATCTAAGTCAATCGGAAAGAATTTTATGAGATAGAAAGAATATACTTTTGGAAAATATATTACATAAAACAATTTACCTTAAAAATCAAGACAATTTTTAAATTTAGAGTGGACAGGTCAAGCCCCCTATATCCACCCCTGAATATAATACTCCAATCCGCCCCATGAATATAATACTCCGTACTTTACTAGGTAGAGTAGTACTCCCCTATTTCACTAACAATGATACAATAGAGAGTAACACACATGTCAATAAAAGTATGTTTATGTGATTGATATTAAATTGATAAAGTAAGAATAAAATACGTAAGAATGATTTAAAATTACACAATTTTTACTAAATTTGATATGAGATAATCTTAATATGACGGATCAAAAAGAAAAAATGAGACAATTTTAGCGTGACATTCTACGGTTGTTGTGTTGGTTCGATGCTGTGCAACGAGAGAGATTCTTTATGTTCACTTTTTAGAACCTCGAAAAATGTCCAATGTTCAATTTGTAAGAATAGAGGGAACATGTCTCAAGGGATGGTGTTGTATGGGAGTATA